ATGAGCATCCAGGGAGAGGTTAGGGGAACAAGAATCAATCTGGAATCAGTTTTCTCACAGGGAGCATAAAACACAAGAAGCCATACTTTCAGGATAAAACACTAAGAAGCCATAGTTTCTTCATAAATGTAAACATAAACGTATGGTACAACCCAGCATTCCCACTGCTAGGTATTATCCAAGTGAAATAAAAACCTATGTTCATGCAAAACCTGTATACAAATGTTCTTAGAGGCTTTATTCTCAATCACTTAATACTGGAAACAAACCAAATGTCCTTTAAAAGGTGAATGGACCAAAAAACTGTGGTACAACCATACAATGAACTACTATTATCCAGAAAAAAAAAAAAAAAAAAAAGGACAAACAGATGGAGGAATCCATTGCTATAACATTCTTGAAAGGACAAAATTAAAGAGATAGAGAACAGGTCAGTGGTTACCACAGGTTGGCATGGAGGTAGGAAGTGACAAAAGGTCAGTGCAGAGGAATTTTTGAGGGTGATAAAACTTTCTGTATTTCAATTGTGATGACTGTTAAATAACTTTATTCATTTGTTGTAACTCAGAACTGTACAGGAACACTGAATTTTACTTTAGTAATTCTTTAAAAAATAAAATAAAGTAAAGAAATGATTTTAAAATAGGGGTTATATCACATAAAGGTGACCAATGGAAAAATAAAATTAAAAATTTTAGTAGCAGAGTTTGATGGGAAGGAGAAGAGATATGGTAGTTTGAGTTAAATTCTGTATTTACATAGCAAGCAGTCAATATTATAAGTTGATAAATTTAAAAACGTAGTAATAGCCTGTTCCTTAGACCTATCAACCAGTAAATAAAAACAGAAATGCTTCAAATGATTACAATTAGAGTGGGACTTGTGTGATTCAGGAGCTGGGGGGAGGTGGGATATTTTATATTTTATATCTTCCTGTACCATTTGAAATAATACATGTATAAATATTGCTTATAGTTTATTATAAAATAAAAATTTTAAATATTCTGGATATAAAAACATCTTGATTAAAAATTTTTTTCACCAGATTTCACATTATGAGGAGGAAAAAAGCTCAGATTTAGAGCTGTACCCTCAAGGTGCACTAAGATATGAGTTTCACTTACAGTATAAGAAGTTCTACAGGTATCCTAACTAATATAATATACATCACATCACAAAAATACTGTAATATTAATAATATTATTATGTTAATCCATTCTTACACTGCTACAGGAACATACCCAAGACTGTGTAATGTATAAAGGAAAGAGGCTTAATTGACTCACTGTTCCACAGGGCTGAGGAGGCCTCAGGAAACTTACAATCATGGTGGAAGGGGAAGCAAACACGTCCTTCTTTAAAGGCAGCAGAAGAGAGAAGAATGAGAGCCGAGCGAGCGGAGAAGCCCCTTATTAAACCATCAGATCTCATGAGAACTCACTCACTATCACTAGAACACTATGGGGGAAACCACCCCCATGATTCAGTTACCTCCTACCGAGTCCCTCCCACAACACAGGGGAATTATGGAAACTAAAATTCAAGATGAGATTTGGAATGGGCACACAGCCAAACCATATCATTCTGCCCCTGGACCCTCCAAAATCTCATGTCCTCACATTTCAAAACACAATCATGCCTTCCCAACAGTCCACCAAAGTCTTAACTCACTCCAACATTAACCCAAAAGTCCAAGTCCAAAGTCTTATCTGAAACAAGGCAAGTCCCTCTGCCTATGAACCTGTAAAATCAAAAGCAAGTTGGTTACTTCCTAGATACAATGGGGGTACAGGCATTGGGTAGATACACCTGTTCCAAATGAGAGAAATTGTCCAAAACAAAGTAAGTATATTCCCCACATAAGTCCAAAATCCAATAGGGAAGTTATTAAACCTTAAAGTTCCAAAATGATCTCCTTTGACTCCATGTCTCACATTCAAGTCATGCTGATGCAAGAAGTGGGCTCCCATGGTCTTGGGTAGCTCTGCCTCTGTGAGTTTGAAGGATATAGCCTGCCTCTTGGCTGCTTTCACAGGCTGGTGCTGAGTGCCTGCAGCTTTTCCAGGTGTGTGGTGCAAGCTATCAGTGGATCTACTATTCTGGGGTCTGGAGGATGGAGGCCTTCTTCTCACAGGTCTACTAGGCAGTGCCCCAGTGGGTACTCTGTGTGGGGGGTCCAACCCCACATTTCCCTTCTGTGCTGTCCTAGCAGAGGTTCTCCATGAGGACTTTGCCCCTGCATCAAACTTCTGCCTGACATCCAGGCATTTCCATACATCCTCTGAAATCTAGGTGGAGGTTTCCAAACTTCAATTCTTGTCTCATGTGCACCTGCAGTACCAAACCACGTGGAAGCTGCCAAGGTTTGGGCTTGCCCCCTCTGAAGCAATGGCCTGAGCTGTACCTCGGTCCCTTTTATCCAAGGCTGGAGCTGAAGCATCTGGGATGCAGGGCACCATGTCTCAGGGCTGCACAGAGCAGGGGGTCCTGGGCCCAGGCCACAAAGCATTTTTCCCTTCTAGGTCTCCAGGCTCGTAATGGGAGGAGGTGCCATGAAGGTCTCTGACATGCTTTGGATACATTTTCTTCATTGTTTGGTGATTAACATTCAGCTCCTCGTTACTTATGCAAATTTCTGCAGCAGGCTTAAATTTCTACCCAGAAAATGGGGTTTTCTTTTCTATTGCATCGTCAATCTGCAAATTTTCCAAACCTTTATGTTCTGTCTCTGTTTGAACGCTTTGCCACTTAGAAATTTTATCCGCCAGATACCCTAAATCATTGCTCTCAAGTTCAAAGTTCCATCTCTAGGGCAGGGGTAAAAGCCGCCAGTCTCTTTGCTAACACATAGCAAGAGTCCAGTTTGCTCCAGTTTTCAACAAGTTCCTCATCTCCATCTTAGATCACCTCAGCCTCCACTTCATTATCCGTATCACTATTAGCATTTTGGTCATAGCCTTTCAACAAGTTTCTAGGAAGGTCAAAACTTTCTCATGTCTTCCTGTCTTCTGAGCCCTCCAAGTCTCTAGGAAGTTCCAAACTCTTCCACATTTTCCTATCTTCTTCTGAATCCTCTAAACTGTTCCAATGTCTGCCTGTTACCAAGTTCCAAAGTCGCTTCCACATTCTTGGGTACACTTATAGCAGCGCCCCACCCCTCCCTTGGTACCAATTTACTGTATTAGTTCCTTCTCATGCTGCAATGAAGAAATACCCAAGACTGGGTATTTCTGAAGAAAAGAGGTTTTTTTATAAAGGAGAAAACCTTTTTTTTTTAAATAAAGGAAAGAAAATTTATAAAGGAAAGAGGTTTAACTGACTCACAGTTCAGCATGGCTGTGGAGACCCCAGGAAACTTACAATCTTGGTGGAATGTGAAGCAAACACATCCTTCTTTACATGAAAGCAGGTGAGAGAATGAGATTTGAGGAGAGGAGGAAGCCCCTTCTAAAACCGTCAGATCTCATAAGAACTTACTATCATGAGAATAGCATAGGGGAAACTACTCCCATGATTCAACTACCTCCCACTGGGTCCCTCTCATGAGAACTAAAATTCAAGATGAGATTTGGGTAAGGATACAGTCAAATCATGTTAATTATAAATGTTACTACATAAAATGAAGAATATTACTAGTTGTCACTCAGTTTTGTTATTATAATATATAACTATATTTAGATTTTAAAAATTCTCTCATAATTGTCATAGTAAAAATATTTTCAAAGAGAAAATTTCCTGTCATGTTGATACAGCATCATAAACAAACAGATATCCAATAGTGATCAATAAGCCTTACAGAAGCCAATTTCTCTTCATCTTCAATCAAACTGAATCAATGGGCCTATGACAGCTACTCCTGGTGGAAAATATGCTAAAACTTTAAAAAAAAAAATCACAGAGGCTTTTGGGTCTGAATAGTATCTGACAGGGGAATAGTCATTGAAAAAAAGAATGTACTCTAATATAAGCAAGTTTTAAAATAATTTTTGATCCAGTGCAAGAACCCAAAAGTGCCAGTATGTGAATGCATAATTAGGTAGTGGAAAATTCATTACAAAGTGAATTTTGGTTCAATTTGACAAGCAAAAATTCTCCCATGGCTGCTTTTGAGAAAATTATTATACCTTTCTTTCATCAAAATGTTGCCTGTTGTGCATTTCTGTCAATAGCATTTAACATATTTATTTAGGTTGCCTGTTTTCTACTTCACTAAAGTAATGTATACTTTTATTTATATTTTATTCCTGTTAACATATATAACACATATCCATATAATCTCCCCATAGGTAAGAGACTTACTCTTTCTGTCCTTGCTGTGGTAGCCACAGAATTGTATCACTCAAATCTTCTATTGTTAGCATAGTTGACTAATGGCCCCAGCTGTCATTCCTCTGTATCTATCATGGTATTTGTGCTGAGGTCATGCTTCTACCAAGCTGTTTATAGCCAGCGTCTGAGCAAGGGGTAGGTACTAGTGCTAGTTCATTCCTACAAGGCATGGGGCTTTTCTAGTGGGTGACTTTAGCTCCAGGCATCTCCCTTGACCTTGTCAAAACTCCACTGTCTGAGACTCTTCCTCCCCAATCCTCCTTCTCCCTCACCTTTCACAGGTATCAGATCAGCAACTCAGTCTGAGGTTGAGTTCAGTCTGAAGCCTTCCCTGCCTATTCCTACTTCCTCCTTTTCATCCTTCATGTACATCTCTCTCCTAAAATCCTCTTGCACCTTGAATTCCATCTTGGCATCTGCTTCTTAGAGGATCTGAACTGACACTCTCTGAAGAAAAGATAAGCATAGCACCTTTCTACCTTAAGAATATCCAAATCACACTGTCTCCAGAGAGGAAATATTGTTACAAATAGATTTTTATTTTCTTTCTCTCTTTCTTTCTTTTTTTAGACAACGTCTCGCTGTGTCACCCAGGCTGGAGTGCAGTGGCACGACCTTGGCTCACTGCAACCTCCGCCTCCCAGGTTCAAGTGATTCTCCTACCTCAGCCTCCCGAGTAGCTGGGACTACAGGCGCGTGCCACTACACCCGGGTAACTTTTTGTATTTTTAGTAGAGACGGGGTTTCACCGTGTTAGCCAGGATGATCTCAATCTCCTGACCTCGTGATCCACCCACCTTGGCCTCCCAAAGCTCTGGGATTACAAGTATGAGCCACCACCCCCGGCCAAAAACAGATTTTTCTGAGTCCCTAAACTTCCCTGGAAGTTTCTTTTATATTTGTGTTGTATAATCTCTTCCTCAATCTCTAGCCACAATCTCCAACCTGACCCTGCCGCCTTCCCTCCACTCCAGGTGTTATTAATGTGCTAAAGTAGCTTTCTGTTTCTGTCACTCCTTGGCTTAAAGGCTCTGATGATTCCCTCAAGTCTACTGGTTAATGTCCAAATGTTTTAGCCCAATCCATAGTCAATTTCTCAAATTTTAACTAGAAGAGGGCTCTTTCTCCAAGGCTAGAGATAACAGGCAAAGGATTGGAGATGATAAAACAAAATTGAGGTTTAGGAAGGAAAGGGGAGTTTTACATGAGATGGCTTTACTCTTCCTGGTAAGGTAGATGGTGGAAAGTCAGCAGGAGGGATTTGGGAGCTTGAATGGGGGAGACAACCGCAGTGAAAATTCAAAGTGGATTAAAATTTTTGCAGAGTAGCACTTAGGGGTCCTTTGAAGGATATTGGGATATCCCTAGGATATTGTTACTTTATTCTAAATAAATGCCTTTCATTTAATAGATGTTCAAAAATGTTGAATGAGGAAAGTAAGCAAAGCATTATAAAAACTCTGCAGAAGCCCTAGAGGGAAGTGATTAAGAACATGGCCTTGAGCCAAAATCTGAGCACCATCACTTAGAGCTCTGTTCCTCTGTGCCTTGGTGTCTTTATCAGGAAAGTAATAATATGATGCCTACTTGGTAAAGTTATTATAAGGATTTACAGTTAAATATGTGTATATAAATCACTTAAATTATGCCAGCCATATGGCAAACACTCTGTATGTTTGCTATCTTCATTATCATCAGTATTATTACAGTAAATATGCAGCTAATTAAAAAATTGACCAGAAGAATGGTATATATTAATAGATAAAGTAGCAGATACTATAGTAGATACAAAACCAGAAGCCTTCATCTTGGGGCTCTTTTGAGCTGTCATGTAAGGTCCGTGACCTTGGGCATGTTATTTAATGTTCTGCAACCTCAAGAGTACCTGTCTCTTGTTACATGGTTGTAGTGAGAGTCAAAGGAGATTAGTGCGAAAGCGCTTTATATATCATAAAGGGCAACAGACATACAAGTTACCCATCAGGAAATAATACACATGTATGAGTTTGTTTGGTTCACGTACCAATTCCTTTAGCCCTAGAAATTCTGAGGATCAGATTGTTAAACTTACGCATTTTGAATACATGTTAGACAATCTCTGAAAAAAAAAAATGCTGCTGTAGATTTCAAGATAAGAGAAAAGCTTTCTCTTGTTTGAGAAGATATAGTGAAGATGGGAAGAGAGTCACTCAGTCTGAGGTCTTTTGGTGGAGGAAGGAAGAAAACAATTTTCTAGGGAATGGGAGCATGAAAAAACCCACCAAATTTGAATGGCATGGCATATGTATGTAATGACTAAGAGGTGTGTACTCATAAAATCAACTTCTCCTTTTTCTTAAACCCACTTCTCCATAACAAGGCCGCCTGCTGCTGCACCAGGAATTTACTGCTGTGAGCAACTCTAAACATTGTGCTAATGGTAGCACTGCCTGAGAACAGTCATTTGAGAGTGCAGTGTGCTCTCTACACACCACAGGGCACACACTGTAATCTGATATAGGGTAAAGGTACTTTAATAATTATTATCATTAAAAGCAAACAATCAACTCCACAGATCAATGCCTCTCTTAAAACATGTTTTCTAATCTCTGTTTCCTCTCAGATGTATGGTTATTGTCCACCTGGACAGGCCCCAAAGTGACAGCCAGAAATCTGCCTCCACCACCCCTTCTGCTGTTCCTGCCATCATATTTAATTGTGTTTGCTCAACTCGAAGCCAAACTCATATGCAGTATATTTAGATGGTTAAAATAGCACAGCACTGCACTGTATTCACAGATTATTTTCAACACCACAGTTCTTGGGAATTAGTTTGGAATAAATAAGGTAAAGAGAAAAGAAGCAACATAAATTTGTTCCAGTGACAAAGAAAACAATATTAAAATGCCAATCTGGAGCTTCGCCATGAATGAGGGAAGGGAGTGCTCCTTTCGGTCCACTCTCCTGCAAATGCAATCACCATCTCATTCTCTAGTCTGGATTTATTTTAAAGTGGGTGAGAACAAAAGCAAAAAACTAATAGTAAGAAACTATGAAAAGAACCTTTATTATTTCAAAAGATCAATGTACAATCACTGTACATATTCTTAGATAGCATCAAAAGTAAAGGTGTAGAACTGATATATATGTTGATTTTCTGAAACTCTAGGGAGTCTTTATTTTTCACAATAGCAAACTTTCTAAATTGAAACACATATATTATTAGTATATATTCAGGATCTGTTTTCTGAGGTCTCGGCTACTATACACTTCTTCAAATGCCTCAAAATAATCACTCCTAATTAATTTACAAAGGCTTCGTTGGATACCGTTATCAGCTAACTCCACCTTAAAGTTTCCAACTTGCATTTTTCGTATCATTTAACAAACACAAACTCTGTCACCCAAATGTCAAAAGATTTATAAGTCATGGAGTATAAAACAGACTTTGTTACTGACGAGGTTATGACTTGAATTGGATCAATTAACTAAAAATAAAGACCAGCTTTCTGTTATTTTAATCTGAGCCAAATTTACATAACAATAATAACAATGGGGATTTTATTTATTTATTTAACTTTTATTTTAGGTTCAGGGATACATGTGCAGGTTTGTCATATAGATAAATTGCAAGTCATAGGAGTTTGGTGTACAGATTATTTCATCACCCAGGTAATAAGCATAGCACCTGACAGGTAGCTTTTTGATCTTCTCCCTCCCCCTATTCCCTACCCTCAAGTAAGCCCCAGAGTCTGTTAATCCCGTCTTTGTGTCTGTGTGTTCTCAGTGTTTAGCTCCCACTTATATGTGAGAACATGCAGTATTTGGTTTTCTGTTCCTGCATTAGTCTGCTTAGGATAATGGTCTCCAGCTCCATCCACATCCCTGCAAAAGACATGATCTTATTCTTTTTTATGGCTATGTAGTATTCTGTAGAGTATTTATGTCACATTTTCTTTATGCAGTCTACCATTGATGGGCATTTAGGTTGATTCCGTGTCTTTAACTATTGTGAATAGTGCTGCAATGGAGATACATGTGCATATGTCTTTATTGTAGAATGATTTCTATTCCTTTGGGTATAAACCCAGTAATGGGATTGCTGAACTGAATGGTAATTCTATTTTAAGTTCTTTGAGAAATTGCTACACTGCTTTCCACAAGGGCTGAACTAATTTATTTGCCCACCAGCAGTGTATAAGCATTCCCTTTTCTTCATAATCTTGCCAGCACGTTATTTTTTGACTTTTTATTAATAGTCACTCTGACTGGTGTGAGATGCTATCTCATTGTGGCTTTGATTTGCATTTCTCTAATATTTAGTGATATTGAGCTTTTTTTCATATGTTTGTTGATCATGTATATGTCTTTGAAAAGTGTCTATTTATGTCCTTTGCCCACTTTTGAATGGGGTTGTTTGCTTTTTGCTTGTTGATTTGTTTAAGTTCCTTATAGATGGTGGATATTAGACCTTTGTCGGATGCATTCTGTAGGTTGTCTGTTTACTCTGATGATAGTTTCTTTTGCTGTGCAGAAGCTCTTTTGTTTAATTAGATCCCATTTGTCATTTTTTGTTTTTGTTTCAATTGCTTTTGCATCTTCATCGTGAAATCTTTGCGAAGGCCTAGGTCCTGGATGGTATTTCCTAGGTTATTTTCCAGGATTTTTGTAGTTTTAGGTTTTACATTTAAGTCTTTAATTAATCTTGAATTGATTTTTGTATATGGTCTAAGGAAGGAGTCTAGTTTCAATCTTTTGCATATGGCTTGCCTGTTATCTTAGCATCATTTATTGAATAGGGAATTCTTACTCATTGCTTGTTTTTGAGAACTTTGAAGATTAGATGGTTGTAGCTCTGTGGCATTATTTCTAGGCTAACTATTCTGTTCCACTGGTCTATGGGTCTGTTTTTGTACCATACCATGCTGTTTTGGTCACAGTAACCTTGTAGTATAACTTGAAGTCAGGTAACATGATACTTCCAGCTTTGTTCTTTTTGTTTAGGATTGCCTTTGCTACTCGGGCTCTTTTTTGGTTCCACATTAATTTTAAAATAAGTAATTCAGTGAAGAACATTATTGGTAGTTTGATAGGAATAGTATTGAATGTGTAAATTACTTTGGGCAGTATGGCCATTTTAACAATATTGATTATTCCTATCCATGAGCATGGAATATTTCCATTTGCTTTTTTTCATCTCTGATTTCTTTGAGCAGTACTTTGTATTGTAATTCCTGTTGTAGAGATGTTTCACCTTCCTGGTTAGCTGTATTCCTAGGTATTTTATTCTTTTATTTATTATTATTTTTTTTTAAGACAGAATCTCGCGCTGTCGCCCAGGCTGGAGTGCAGTGGCGCGACCTCGGCTCACTGCAAGCTCCGCCTCCCAGGTTCACGCCATTCTCCTGCCTCAGCCTTCCGAGTAGCTGGGACTATGGTGCCAGTCACCACACCCGGCTAATTTCTTGTATTTTTAGTAAAGACAGCTTTTCACCGTATTAGCCAGGATGGTCTCGATCTCCTGAGCTCATGATCCGCCTGCCTCGGCCTCCCAAAGTGCTGGCATTACAGGTGTGAGCCTCTGCGCCCGGCCAATATTTTATTCTTTTTGTGGCTATTACAACAGACATTTTAAACATACGGAGCTTAAATAACCTGACTTTCACCCAAATTTGGAAAATGAAGAGAATGAATATGCATATAGATACTTTTTTACTTCAGATTTTCCAGCAAATATTCTTATAATACCTACATGTCTATTAATCAAACATCACATAAGAATACCTAACCTGTGCTCATCTGTCAGGAGCTGACTTTTTCTCTGCATTCTTATTCTTCATTTGTTTATTAATTAATTCAACACACACTACTTAGAGCCTGCTCTGTGGCCAAGGGCTGTTCTAGGTACTGAAGACACCACCAGGATAAGGCAAACAAGGTGCTATTCTTATGGAGTTTACATTCTACCACAGAGGGTAAAATTAAAAGACAATAAATAAACAGAAACAAATATTTCAGTTAACAATAACTCAAGCAAACAAAGTAGAGTAGAATGCTAGGGTAGCCTGGAGGGTCCCTTTAGACGGTTGAAATAGACAAGTCTCCTCAGGAGGTAACATTTGTCTCAGATGGACAAGATGGCACCAGCCATGTGAAGAGCTGAGGGAACTGCAAATACCAAGACCCTGAAGCGGGAAAGCGTTTAGAGAATCCAAAGAACTTAAAGAAAGAATTCTATTTAGAGCATCATGAGTCGGAAGGAGGTGTTTTGAGATGAGGCCAGACAGTGAGTGAAGAACACATTTTTGCCAAGGACTCAGGCAGCTGCTTCAAGATTTGTTCTGCCTTTGGAGTCAGCCCAGAACCAGCCTGTGGAACAAAGGCCAGAACTGACTCAGATATAGACATTGTTGTGACTCTACAGATCTCCTCTTTCATGTGTCTGAGCTGCCCCTGAAGTCTTTATCCCCTGGGTCTTTATTACCTGAGTGGTTCACTTGGCTTTTTGACCTTCATTCTTGCTCATTTTCTGTTTGTCTTCCAGACCTGTGGGCCTGTTGCCTGGTTTCTGATCTGATACTTTTTCTGATCCTCACTATTGGTTTAGGCCTAGAGTCCACATAACCTGGGTGTTCTGAGTGTTCGATCTTACAACAACTTCCTACTAATCCTTAATGGACTTTATAGTTTCCTTACCTGACTAGACACCAAAACCGCTGCTGTGTTACTACTTTTTTGAATATGTACAGTGGTGCCTCTGTGTCTGTGGGGTCTGCATCCATGAATTCAGTCAACCTCAGATAGAAAATATTTGGGGAAAAAAGTTCCACTGGGTTCCAAAAAGCAAAACTTGAATTTGTTGCATGCTGAGTATTACATTGCATCCACACAAATGCAGTGATATGTGAGAATTGCATTAGGTATTGAAAGTAATCTAGAGATGATTTAAAGTACATGGGCAGATATGCATAGGTTATTTGCAAATATGACAGCATTTTATATCAGGGACTTGGCATCTGCAGAATTTAGTATCTGAGGGGGTCTTGGGACCAATCCCTAATGAATACTGAGGAATGACTGTATTGTGTTATCAGCTTTCAAAAACACTTCCAAATACTTTAGCACTTTTGACCGTGTCAACAATCTCCATGAAGCAGCTTTACAATTATTATTATTTTATTTTAAAGATAAGGAAATCTAAAGTCAAAGGTAAGTGCCTGAGAACCCAGGAATCCTGCTTTCTAGTCTCCATCTTATTTAGGGGGTGAGGGAGATCTAGTGCACTCTAGGCATATGGGGAGACTAATTCCACAGATGGCCTGCTTATTATATGAACGTTGAAGACAAGGCACAAATGAATTTAAGGTGAATAGAAAGGATTCTTTTCCCTTCTCTTCAACTTTTTTCATACTTGTATATTTCAGTTCACTTTTCTTTGTAATATTATGTCCTCAGACATCATTCACAGCCCCATACATACACTAGAACATAGTATAGAGATAGACTAATACAAATATATTACCAATGAAAGGAGCAAAAAGGGAACAAGTGACTCATTTAATTGGTGAATTTGGGAGGAAAAAACTGAGCATATTCAGCTGAACTGCTCTGAATTCTTTCCTTTGGCTCCACCTAACCCCAAATACCATAGTGTTCAGGTGTTGGATAGCATATATAACTCATTTTAAAAGCTCAAAGTTCTATGGTCTAATTTTCAAGTATGTATCTTTCAGATAACCATGTTGTCAACAATTAAATGTACTCTTAAAAAAATCAGCATTTTCAGATAAGTTCAAACAAGAGAGACAAGAGGGTGTCATCGAGAAACTAACAATTTCCTTACCGGTTCAATATTAAACAAAACTCATAAATAATATTCTTAAAATAAATGGGAGAGTGATAGAAAAGATTGAAAACCCTCAGGTGTCTTTAATCCTTCTAAGGTGGATCAGTTAAGTTCATCATAGCTCGTGTGCGGTAGCTTTGCAGTAGAATGATTTTCATACCATTCTTTAAAAATCTAAGGTTCTTATTAAGATGAGATTCTAGCTGTTTCTATTAAAAAATCATGACCCTTTTCCAACAGAACTGTTTTGACCTGTTATTTCTGGCTAAATTTGTACGAGTTCTTTTCTCCCACCCACTCCTGCACAGATCTCAAGAAAATACACTTTAATAGCTAGTGATCCAAAGTCCTCAGACAAAAACAAAAATATGCAATTCAGCGTAAAACACAAATTCACTTAGAGGTGAATATTATAAAAAGCAAACGCAGTAAGTTTTGAAGGATGTGTTGTCCCTAGAGGACCATTTAGTGGATTGGAAGCAGCAATTCATGACTGAAAATAAATTTAGTAAAATATAATACAGTTAATCTACATAAACTCAAAACTTTCCAAATAGAAAAATAATTACTTATCTTTCCTAGTTTGTTTCCAGACAGACATTTAATATTGTATAAACATCATGTCACTATAGATTCAGCAGAGGATCTGGTCTCTCCTCCACCAACCCCCTTCCTCTCACCTCTCCAGATATCTCTGGGACAGTATAGGTGAACCTCTGGGGACTTGTGTAAGAATAGGGTACATCTGTCTCTACTAAAAAATACAAAAAAAAAAAAAAACTAGCCAGGCGAGGTGGCGGGCACCTATACTCCCAGCTACTCGGGAGGCTGAGGCAGGAGAATGGCATAAACTCGGGAGGCGGAGCTTACAGTGAGCTGAGATCCGGCCACTGCACTCCAGCCTGGGCGACAGAGCGAGACTCCGTCTCAGCAAAAAAGAAAAAAAAAAAAAAAAAGGATTGGGTACATCTGGACTGCTGCCAGCCAGGTGGTAAGCTTGCTGGGGAAAGGCTCTGGCCTTGATCATTAAGCTTCTGTGTTGTTGAACTTTGTCTATGATGGGTGGGTGAGCTTAATTCAGCGGTGAAATATTATAAATACCATTGCAACCTCACATCTAAGCTATAGCTTTTATTGGCAGTAAAGCTGCCTCTATAACTTCCTTCTGGGAAATACTGCAATCTCTCTCTTAGGACATTTTCTTATATTCATCCAGATTTCTCAAGAATGATTTGACAATTCTACTATGTTATTGTCATTATTTTCTTTCAAAAAAAAGATACTCAATATTTTTGCAAAAAGACATGGAAATACATTCTATGTCACAAAGATCATATAGATGATAAGTCTCAAACTTAGCTATAAGCACACAGATGACTCAAACAATAAAAGGAATATCATAAAATATATCTTATTTGAAAATGTATTATACTTGATTAAAAATCCAAATTTTTAAAGTTTACACCTTATAGTTTTTACTGAAACTTTAAGTATTTTTTTAAAAACCATGTTAATTGATCCAAAACAAAATGTTCATACTTTTGTGCAAAATAAATTACATGTTGTTTCCTAGGCTGAAATCACATTATCATTTCATTGGATTATACTGGTGTCTGTGTGTGTGTGTGTGTGTGTGTGTGTGTGTGTGTGTGTGTATCTTTGTATAAAATAATATGCTACTGTGGCTATATTAAGACGGTGCCAACATAACTGGCTGAAAAGTGAAAAATTCAATCATGACAGTTTTACTCACATGTTTTCCTGATTAGACTAGTTGATTTGGCTTGGCATTTTATATGCATTCATTAAGTTGTTGTAAACAAAGGTGTAATATTATAATGACTTTCAAGTCAATAACTTTTGGTCTTTACAATAGTGAACTATTAAATATACACAGTCAAAAATATTTAAAATTCAGACTAAAATCCACTAATTTCATCTCTGAAATTAATGTTACTGCCTTTTACAAATTTTCACTATAGAGAATGGTATTTAGAGAGTATACTCCTATCATTAGTCATACTTTTAAAAGACGGGAGGCTGGAAAGGAAGAAAATAAAAGAGATTCCACTGCTGATAAAATGTTTTCACTTTTCCCAAAAATACACTAGTAATATCTGTGTATGTGTATGCACACACACATACACACACACAACCTTGTCCCTCAAGTAGACCCCCCAACATCCGAATTTTATTACCTGTTTTTGAGTAGCACGCTGAAGGTCATCTTCTCCAGTCCCCGATAATTTGGCAGCAACTTTGCCCAGTTCCACTTCCATTTTGTGGTGGCTGACTGTTGATAAATGAGAAGACACTATTGTTAGTTATTAATCAGTGTTAATATGATCAGTAAATTAAAGCTCCAGCTGTGATAGACTAACTAAGAAGGAGGGGGGTCCAGAACAAGGACTTAGACAGATAACATCAATCATGTCCACAGAAGAAGGTTTTTATTCCAATAAGATAGCAATTAATGTATAAATCCATTTGGGGATGTAGTCATTATTTATAAAAATATAAATCAATTTCTTGAGTTGTTATTCTTCCAAGTGTTAATGGCATTTCCCCAACAAGTTTCTCTGAGAAGGAGACTGTTTGAAAAGCAAAGAAAAATAATTGGGAACTTTTTCAAACATCATATCAATTTATTGTTTGATTTTCTTTCCAGCAACCAAAAGTTTGATTAAAAAACAAACTTGGAAGTGCTAAGAATCAAATTATAAGATACGGCCTAATTAGAGTATGATATTAATGTTATCTTTTTGGTTAAGAAAATGCTTTAAAGGGAAGATGATGAGGATCTGTAAGTGTAAATTATATAAATGATTCTTCTCATTAATAGAAATTTCACAACAGACTATGGAGAAAAGTTACTGTGAAAAATAATCTCATAATTCAGAACTCAATAAAATATGCCATTTATTTAAATGAAGCAGGGAAAATTTAACGGCTATAATAATTATTTATGGTTTGGAGCAATCTAATGCACAACACAGAAAAGCAGCCAATAAACTCAAACTTAGTATATTTAAAGTATTATAAATGCTTATGCTCCTTAGGATGAAATAGTTTTGAAAACAGGAGTCCAGACTGACGTTTAAAATCCAACAAGAGCTATCCCCTGTCACCTGCTGATTAATTGAGCACTACAATCCTGTCATAGAGCAGCAGAGTTCTGCCCTGGGTTGTCAGCATTTGAAGGTCTTACTCTACTACAGTATTGATGAGTGTAGACTAGAGCTGTAACAGTCATGGTAAAAATATTATCTGCATGCTGAATTAGGTCATTGTTTTAATTCTTATTTTCATCAGAGCTCTAGGTCAAGCAATCCTTCTCTTCTGCCCTGTTAGTTCAAATTATCTGTCAAGAGGTTTCTGGGAAAAGCCACCAGAAGAATGAACAAAGCAAAAGCAACTTTAGATTTCAAATACTTCGGCAGAAAGATGATCTTTTCAGTGTAACTACTGAAACATGCAGCTTAGATAATGGCATAATCTGACATTTAAAAATGTGTGGTGTTTCCCATATTGACTTTATTCCAAATAGCCTGGCTTTAAGATTATTAACAAATTCATTTTAAATTTGGGAATGTGTCTATGGTTATAAAAAGCAAATTTACCCCATACCACTTAAAGTAGGAGCTCAGTGCTCTATTTATAATTAATTTTAACTATTTTCTAATTTGCCTGATACATTCATAAAGGTTGCAAGGTATTTTGTGAGTGTGTGTTTTGGGGGATGGGGGTGACAAGGGAGGAAAGGAATGTTACAAAATGCCTGGTTCTTCAGCCCTCTGTAGACACAGCCTAACAGATGTTCCCTCTGCCCATGGTAAACTGATCAGCCAAAAGTTAAGTTTTACAGACCAAACAGATGAATCAGTTTGACAAATAGAAAAAAGGTTAAATAACTTTTAAAAGTCAATTTGTACAGACCATGTAAGTAAGAACAAGGCCTTTTGCTTCCTAGCAAAAAAAGCTTATGAGTAAATATTCAAACACAAAGCAATTTTTTCTTAGTTGAGTAAAGAAACCACACATTTAAATTAAATTTACCATTTAATTTCCACATACCTGATCTAGCATGTTTTCACTAAACGCCTTATACACATGGAAAGGGTTAAAGGCAGAAGGCTGATCTTCTGTACTCCTCAAGGTCGCCTTTAAAGGTCGGATGGGTAATGGCTTTTCCTCTGAACTATTCATAGAAAACAGCTGTTCTTTTAAATATTCCTTCAAAGAAAAGAAATTACAAGTTGTGACGGTGAGAAGCAGACATTCTCTGTAAAAATAAACTGATCAATATCCAAATTTATCCTTTCAGCACATTTGCTAGATTACAGTGTATTACTTGCCTCAGGGAAGAATACATTTTCAGAAGATACATAGTGGAGTACCAATCAGCATTGCAATAAACCCATCAAAAACAGGTTTACCTAATGTGTAGTATAGATTAGGAAACCATTGACCAAACTCTTACAGAATGAATATATGTTTGATATATCAGACCTTTTTAACAGGCATTGTCTTGCCACCGGTTCACATATTAACGTGTCTGGTTATCAAAACTTAACTCAGCTGCATAATTATTCACAGTACAAGGTTGCTCATCCATTCATTAAGTGTAGTTGTTAACTACTCCAGGCTCAGCAGAGCATTGAGTACTCTGATATTTTACTGCAAGCAGTCTCATTCAACACGGAATTAATTATAATGCAAGCTCCTAAACTCTATTTCCATCCCATGGAGTGAAAAATATCAAGGTTTGAGAGAAACTCAAAATATGTCATCATAAGCCCCCAACTGCCAGTGCAGGCCTGGGCAAAAAAAGCCAATCTACAACATTATCCCTCATTTTCCACCAATAAATAAATAAGGTGAACAATCCTAATGTATTTTATGGAACTTTTTCTGGAAGATGACAAATTAAAATGACCAAAAGTCCCCATCAACTAATAAATGCTTACTATTAATAAATAAGTCATCTAATAGATTTTTTAAAATATAAATGTTCTTGTGATGTTTCACGTATCACAGGGTAATTTTTTTTCTTTGAGGTTAGGGTTAGGATGAAGTTCAGAATGTTAGAGCCAAAAAGGTATTCAGATATCATTTAGAAAACCTGTGCTACTCAAAGTCTGGGGCACTGGATCAGCTGAGTTAAGCCTCGCCTGGGAGCTTGTTAGAAAAGCAGACTCTTGGACCCTATTGAATCAGAACTTGCCTGTTAATGAGCATTCCTGGCTGGACGCAGTGATTCACACCTGTAATCCCAGCACTTTGGGAGACCGAGGCGGGCAGATCACCTGAGGTTGGGAGTTCCAGACCAGCCTGGCCAACATGGTGAAACCCCATCTCTAATAAAAATACAAAAATTAGCTGAGTGTGGTGCTGCCCGCCTGTAATCCCAGCTACTCAGGAGGCTGAGGCAGGGGAATCACTTGAACACGGGAGGCGGAGGTTATAGTGAGCCAAGATTGCGCCATTGCACTCCAGTCTGGGTGACAGGGTGAGACTCCATCTCAAAACAAACCAACCAACCAACCTTAAAGGCTTATTGCCTGTGTTTTTGTAATAGTTACAAGGCAACGGTCTCTCTTTGCTTCTAGCCTCACCTAGCATTATGCCTCTTACCTTGCAGTGCCATGCTTCATTCAGCCCAGTAAACCACCAGATACTATAACAGTAAATATACTCAGTTGTAACAAGAGAAATCATAACACTGAGCAAAATGTGGTGGTACCCCAGTGTAATCTCATGGTATCCTGTTCAGAACCACTATCTCAGAGTTATAGGAGCTCTATGAGGGAAGTACAGCCTTTGACTTTCCAGAGTATAACCAGATAACTGATGGCCAATAAATAGCCAATTCAATTTTGGATGATCTCGCTTATTGGTGATTGTTGAGCTTTTTAATATTATGTACCTTTTAAAAATAGGACAATTCTATCAGTTTGGCAATTCAGACCAGCTTTACCATCCTCAGAGCTATTGTAACACTGTTTAACTAAGGATATGGGGGTAACCACACTGCAACATCTGTTCCTCAGTAGTCACCACAATTACTTTGGCCAATCAGAATGGCCAGGTGGACATACCCAATGAGGAGCATCACTTTGCAATAGAGGTCTTTCAGTTTGCCAAGGTGAGGGGTTCCTGAGTTTCCCAGATAGAAACCCTAAGCAAGCTATGAGGGATCACTGACAAGAGTGAATAGGTTGTGTTACTTTGTAACAATTACAAACTGAGCTCTGGTGCCTTAAGGACAGGGTCAGATCTCATAGCTACAAATTTCTTACATCCTTCTGAGGCCATTGTTATATCACCTGTTTATTGACTGTTTGATTAGTTCTGTGAAATCCAGGAAACAAGGTATACTTGAAGTAACTTTCAGATAGCTAATGGTGGGCAAAACATTTATATAATCAAGTTGTAACATGCTATTGTCGAATTTAATTTATTCCTTGAAAATGTATGGTTATAAAGGCCTATGTTATATAGATAAAACTAAAACACTATATATTCACATTATACAATTTTTACTATTCCAAAAATTATATTCATGTATTTGCAAATATAAACACAATTAGATGCCACAATCTAATTCAGACACATATGATCAAATTCAAAACCTGATTAAGTTAGAGAACTTTGTTTCAATAGCTGAGATAACGTGCTATTTACATTTTCACTAAAACAGCCAAAAACATGCAAAGTCAGAGGGCAAGGGGATAGAAAGGCATAACATTGGTTCAACCAGCGTCTGTGTATTAATGAATTTTCCTCGGTTCATCTGGTTGCTCCCGAATATAGTTCAATATTCTTCTTAAGTTTTTTGATTAAATAAGAAATCTCCAACTTCACCAACACAAGCATGATATCTGCAGGAAAAGAGCTAAGTACCTCTTCTGAAAATTCATTGTACAAATACCAGATTTTAACATCAGTCTAACAGTCACAAACACACAATTCCCAAACTACACCTCTAGTGTCTACAATTCAGAACTGAACTGAGTTTATGAGCCGTGTTATTGTTTAAACCATATAAATAAAATCTACATTGTTTCAGTGAAGCTTTTTCTGTACAAATGCAGAACAGCCGGGGCTGAATAGATTCTATTAATAATGCAATATTGAGTTTGGTATTGACTTTAAGAAGTATTATCACCTCCTTGACTAACCCTTAGCTGCCAGCAGACGCTGCCTCAGGCCAGTACACACCTAATTGCTCGGTAAAAAGGCCGTTTCCCTACCTCATTGAGCTGCATGATGTGATAAATTTGCCTCAGGTACTCGCTGCCACCTGGTTTGTGGCAGAGATCCAGGACCATCGTGTTTATTTTCTGCTCAGTCAGTTCAAGAGCAATATCTCCTTCTTGTAAGGACGTGCTTTTCTCTATTGTCATAAATGCACTAAATACAAAGAAAGCATATACATATCAGTAGTGAAGAATTGTAAAGATGGAGAGTAATCATGGAGATGGAGTGTGGAGAGTTGATGTAAATCTCAGATTCAAAGCATCCATAAAGACTTCCCTGAAATAGGTAAGCCTTCCCAAACCGCTGCTGCTCACATAAACAGCACCTTAGAATTAAGCACCTGAAAGCATTTTCAAAAATTGAATCGTTTCTTCTAAAACATGTCTTTACTGCATTTATACTCCTATCTATAAAACATTTTCCCATTACTGCAATTGTTGAGATTGCTATAATCATGAGATGAAAACAAAACATTTCTTTTTAAGAACATGTAAGAAATAATTTGTATTTTCTCTTTGTGGATAAAAAGTATCTTTGATGCCTGAAATAGCTTTGGTATTTTGTCTTTTGTAGAGTCCTCTTTACACCTGTTGTAAAACACATTGAAGACTAATTAAAGTGTCAAAAGGGGGAGCCTATTATGCTAAATATAGGCTGGGTGCTTCGTGGCAGTGTGCTTACCAGTGGGTATTTTAAATTGGCCTTTGACACTTGTTGCCTTTTAAAAATATGTGCCCCACTCCTGTTTCTTTCTGTAACAGATACTTAGCAAAAGTCACTATCCTGATTATTCTTCCAGAAAAAGAGTCTACTATCACCACACCAGGAATGTGCAAGATATAGTTCTAAAACATTTCTTTTAGAAGGATCTATATACATATTGTTGATTTTGAACATTATTTACACAGTAATAATGGATGACAAAAAGAATTTAAACATTTCAAACTATACCAGTGCAAAAAATTTTGATATTCAATGTACACATATATTCCACAAGAATTTTCTTGTTGTTATTGGGATCATGCTACACTTTGCAATGTAAGTATTCTTAAAACTCATGGTTTTCCACTGTTTCCAAGACTAAATAAAATTTACTGTGGCGTAATCAGCTGTATACTGCAGTTCATTACTGAGATTTTGCCATGATTATAAAATTAGTTCTGCTAAGAGTCAGTGCAGCTGACCTGAAGACGGAACCAAATGACACCCAGCTGCTGGACATTAAGTTTGATATTGCTTCCACATGTAGCTTCAAAACATCCTTCTCAAAAACGGGAGGAACTTTAAGATCATATAGCCTTGCTAAAAAATAAAGAAAATCCTACTTTGACTTAGAGATATTCATTAACTAGAGTAAATTTTTTTTTAAAGACCTTTTTACAAGAAAATAAGTTTGCAGGTATGTTTTTGAAACTGCATACAGGTTGCAAAAAAAAATTTCTTGTCAGGTTTTGTAGAGGCTGACATTGAAAAAGTTGAGGCCCTCTGACAAAGGAGTATCTCAGTGTCAGCTTCTGAATTGTATCCTTTCCTGTCCATCACTGTGCAGGTGAAGCAAATGATTGGATTCAGTCAATGCTATGATTAATGAGTTCCTCTCCGGATTTGGGACTGCCTATCAATCATGTCATTAGGGAGAATGTGCCCTGAAAGAGGCAGACCTTAGCCAAGGAATAACTGCATTAATCTTAATCTGTATATGCACCCAGCCAGCCAAGTCAGGGTCACCATGATGAAAAACAATAATCTTCAACTCGACAAATTACTTTGCAAAGACAGACATTTCTTTACTTTTTGTGCGGTGTGTTCTCCAGAATCTAAGTTGACTGTTTACAGCTTGAGTGTTACTACAAAGTGAAGGTTATTTTAATGAATAGTAATGCTTTCAGGCAGTATGCAAGACAGGCGACACTTACAGCTGCCACCTTTTCCACTGCAGTTACTTTCACCATTTCCATAAAATCAAAGTTAAATCTGGATGCAAGTCAAAGGAATCTAGCTAAATGGTATCATGTAGTTTCAGATAATCTTCATAAGTAATTAAGATTTAATTGATCTTAACAGAAGAACCATTTTAGTTTAAATGCTTACATACTCATATATTTTTTAAAATTACGGTAGAACCAAGGCAACCCTCTACCTAATACAGACATCATGTTTTGAAATACATTTTTCCTCACAGTGTATATCTATGAGTAAAATGACCACCAATTAGTAAGAAATACTTAGAGGTGGAAGTGCACTTGTATAACATAATCAATTTGAAATCAAAGTCAAGAAGAAACACTCTTTTTTTTTTTTTTTTTTTTTTTTGCGACAGAGTTTCACTTTTGTTGCCCAGGCTGGAGTGCAAAGGCGCAAAATCAGCTCACTGCAACCTCCGCCTCCCGGGTTCAAGCAATTCTCCTGTCTCAGCCTCCCGAGTAGCTGGGATTACAGGTGCCTGCCACCACACCCAGCTACTTTTTTGTGTGTGTGTATTTTTTGTAGAGATGGGGTTTCATCATATTGGTCAGGCTGGTCTCGAACTCCTGACCTCAGGTGATCTGCCTGCCTTAGCCTCCCAAAGTGCTGGGATTACAGGTGTGAGCCACCGCGCCCAGCCAAGAAACACTCTTATACTGCCCAAACTCTGTAAGAGATTGTTATCTAAAGTGAGTTAAGTCAAATTTAACTCTTTTTCAAATAAATGCAATACATAACTTTAAAACTGCACTTTGTATATTGATATCATTTGAGAAATTGAGAAAGATGTATTGTGCTAATTACATAATTACTCAGAAACTTTGAGGGCTGTACTGCGTTTTTTAAGTTGGCAATTGTTCATTTTTTTATGCATGTTGTATGAGAGGTAAATAATCTTTTGGCTCATTGTTAATCAGCAAAATATTAGCTAGGCAACTCCCACTATAGGAGATACCAGATGTGTTGGGGCTATTTATAAAACTTAAATTGAAATCAGCTTTTAAGGAAAAAATTTAGCTTATAGATTCTTGTATGTACCCCTACATGTATTACCTAGACATTGCTTTAAATGGATCTTATTTGATATAGGGGCTACTAAATCAGCAGTATCATAAATTTAACTTTGTCACTATAATCAGATATACTTTTTACTCTTGTTTTTCCTCTCCCCTTTATAACCACTGCCATGGATAATGACATCAGGCCTTAATGTTTTAGTCATTGGATTAAAGCCTGTAAATTAGTATTGAATGCAAACAGAAAGATTAAGACGGTCACTGTCAATGTTACTAAGCATTTGCCTGAATGCTATTGTAATTCCTACCCATGGGACACTCCAGAAGTACATTTCTAGAGGTCAGTGTGATGAGACCAGGAAAATCATGATTACCTACTTTTCCCCATTTGGATTAACATAAAGTCTTATAGATTAACATAGACAAGTAAACATTATTAATTACCTTAATACTAACCAGTGAAGGCAATGTATTTTAATAGAGTTTATACATAGTAAATGCCTATCAGTTCCAAGCTTGATGCTAAGAACTCCATGAATGTTATTTAGTTTTTCAAAACAATTCTGTCAGTGTGGTATCATCATTGAAACTGAGGCTTTGAGAGATTCAATAACTTGCACAAGATGACCCATTTACAAGGGATTTGTACTTGCCCATCTGATTCCAAAGCCTGATCTCTTTATCATTACCATGTACTAGTAAGAGTAACCATATATCAAGTGACTTTTCGTCATTTTGGGCAGAAAGTTATATTAGTATCTGCTAGCAACATGAATATTTTTTTAAAGAATGAGGGACAGCGTGTGTGGGTGTTTTTAAAATGGGCTGACAGTGATCTATAGACCATATGAGCTGGAATTCCTTTATCAATACCATGCAATTCTATACCTGAAGACTAATTTAAAGACAGGAGGACTCTATGTACATATTTAAATTCATCAGGGACCCTTAAACATCTTTGCAGTATCACAAATCACTTAGCTCTTAGTGACAAACCCATGAGAAGGCTGACATTTTCATACAGAAACAGCTGGGTGTGTTTATAGCTGGAGTGTGATATGCCCTAGTTGCCCTCTGGGATTCTTACATTACCAGATGAAAAATGTGTACCTTTTTGACAATCAGGTACACAGAAAGCAATAAAAAGCCTTTTATATCCATTAATTCCTTCTTAATTTAATCTCCATGCCCAATCCATTTGCAAAATGCTCCAGGCTATCCAATAGATACCTGTTTGCACACTGAAAAGGGGTGAAACTAAATTCTCCTGGGTTTAACTACCACCCTTTTAATCAGAAACCTTAAGACGGTGACTAAACAAGTATAATGTTCCAGTGTGTCAATGGGGTTCACATTTTAAGAAGACAAGAAATGTGCAACAATCCAATTTTTAATGGGATACTTATCTTTTTTTAATTCATCAAAGCTCCCATGAATTTAGCAAAATACTATTGCTGCCCATCTGACAATATATTGTTGTTTGTTGGTGATTTTGTTATTGTAAAAGCATTTGATGAAATCCAGTAAGAGAAAAACATCACTTTACCATTCAGTGCTCAGTTTCCTTGCTTTCAACAATTGACGTTCAATCCAGTTGGGCTTCTGCTGCTCAATGCTCTGTATGACCTTTTGGATCATTTGATTAGGGATACTTGTCTGGTCTCCCATGATGCTCTCCAAACACATACAAATTAAACCCAGTTTTTCTTTACTCCATCTGTCAAGGGAGGCACCTGTTAAAAGTTCCACAGTGTTTCCGTCCTCAAATATCCGACATATAATTACAATCAAGTTCCAGACAAGCAGACCAGCTTTCTTCAATTCAACAAAGTTTTTTGACATTTTTCTCTCAGACAGAAAAAAGAAGTATTTAATTGGGGGAGGCAAACATGCAATCACCGTAGGTAACTTGCTGATTACAATAGATACTGCCTGAGCAGCAAGCCTTGTGAAGCCTGGGGAAGAAAAGAAAAGGTATGATTAATATTAGCATTTGCGTTCAATCATTGCATGGTTTTGTGTTGTATAAAGATGTCTAATTTTTGTGGAGAAAATTGGCAAGAAGATCAAGTGCTTGACATATTCCAACAGAACTCTAACCGGGGTCTCTGGCAGTACTACCTAAAGTTCCCCCAAATCACAAATCCGGGTTTTTTTTTCTCTCATAAATGAAGATTAGAAAATTTAGACTCATAATTTGTATTCTTTCAAGACTGCAGCTTTCCAGGACCCATGTGGCCTCCTAATTAACAAATACAAAGGTTCCCAGCTGGGCAACTTTGTAGGCTTTGATACTTCTGACTCCCCCTTAAGCCCTTCTCCCTTGGAATCCATGACAGAATCATTCCAGCTCTCCTCAGGACTGGTTTCTCTCCTTTCAGTTCTCAACCCAAATGTTACCTCCTCAGACAGCCTTGCCTCACCATCTTATCTTATCTCATCTCGTCATCCTCTCAGTCCATTTTACACCCTTCCATCACAGCCCCAAGACCCTCTCTTTCAGGGATCCCCATTTTGTTGCCTTTATTATAGCATTCCCCATCATCTAATAATTACGTCCTTTTCCTGCACACTGTATGTCACCCTCTTCTGAACTATAAGCTCTTAGAAGGCATTCCCATATCCCTAGCACTTAGTACCTCATATATAATAGTTGTCAATAAATATTGGTTGAATGAATGAGTCAGTAAATTGTTTCCTGCTTACCTCTATCTCTCCTCTTTGCTTCTTTGTGTCCTATGCTATTTCCACTTTCTACTAACACCTCTTAGATGTAGATTTTTGCTGAGACGTCCTTAGCCTTTTGGCTGATGATTCTACATGTTCTCCCTTGTTTGGTGCAATTTCACATTTATAATCTTATTTAATGCAACAGCCTTAGGAGATTATTCAAATATGTGTTGGACCTAGTTTTTACACACTTATAAAGACTGTTCCAATTAATTTTTAAATGATTCTTAGGTTGTCATGAATTGCGGAGGAGTCACTAGATTAGACATATTTTCCAAGAAAAATGTATTAATTCTTCTTCTCTATATCAGGGTTTCTCAACTTCAGCACTATTGCCATTTTGGACTGGATGATCCTTTGTTGTGAAGAGCTGTTCTATGTTCTGTAGTGTGTTCAGCTGCATCTCTGGCCTCCACCCACTAGATGTCAGTAGCATCCCCCTCAGTGGTGACAACCAAAAATGTCCTCAGGCATTGCCAAATGGCCCCTGGGAACAAAACTGTCTGGTTGAGAACCACTCTTCTATATGATTCCAGAATCTTAAGTCTTGGCCTTTCTCCAGAACTGTAGTCCTGTAACTCCAGCTTTCTGTTAAGCATTTCACTTCTGTGTCCTCATCACTGTCAACTCAATATAACTAAAACCAAATTCATTGTCTTCCAAACTAGCTTGGCCCTTCTCCCTCCCACCCACCCTTTCCTCCTTTCTTCCTTCATTCCTTCCTCTCTCCCTCCCTCCCTTCTTCCTCACTACTCTCCTTCCTCACCTCCTCCCTCCCGTTCTTCCTTCCTGTTAAATATTCCTGTTGATCCTTCATACCTAATCAGTGATCAGCATTGATACATAGTTCTGCTCTTTTATCTCTGCCATCCAGTTTCTTATTGCTCGGGCCAGCTGAGGTTACTGACCTACCTCAAGCCCTTCTTCACACATGGTACCTTGACTATGGAAGTGTTCTCCTAACTCATCTCCCTTCTCCAGGCTATGTCCAGCCCTTCTCCTGCACTGTAAAACTGAATTCATCCCTATGAACTGTATTATCCAATTTCCCTGTGATAATTTTAGCTACTTACCACTGTTATAAGATCAGTCTCTTGGGCCTTGCTGTGAAAACACTCCACAGTCTAGCCTCAGCCTGTTTCTATGATCCTTCTCTTTAAGACCTTTAACATGCTTTATCCTCTTTGCTTTTAGGCTTCTGAGTACGTCATTACTCTCAATGGAATGCCCTCTGTCTTCAGGGTTCACAAATAATCTTCAACTCTTAGTTCAAAGTCCTCTCCCCTCTTGTGAATTTATTTGAATATATTCTATATATGACCATTTTGGTAATTAGGTCCATAATTGGCTATGTTATTTTTGTATTATCATCTATTTTATTTATGTTATTTATATATTCATGAGTTGTCTTTACAGCTAGCCTATAAACTCCAGAGCACGGGAAACAAAGCTCTTAGCTCCTTGATTATCCCACAAAGCCAGACAGTGTTTTAATCCACTATGTACATAATGGAATTTGAACATTAAAACTGAATGAGAAGCCAAAAGAAAGTAGCTCTGAGTTCTTTGGTAAAACATTCTTTACTGTGTTTGCTGAACAAAAATAACAGAACAATGTGAACATTTTCTGAAGATATGTGTAACATTTAAAAAGTCACTCTGTTCCAAAAAAGTACAAAGCTCTTGGAAAATATGTCTAATCTAGTGACTCCTCTGCAATCCATGACAACTTAAGAATCATTTTAAAAATTAATTGGAGCAGTCTTTATAAGTTTGTAAAAACTAGGTCCAACACATATTTGAATAATCTCCTAAGGCTCTTGCATTAAATAAGATCATTAATGTGAAAGCACCTAGCTCAGCACCTGATCAAAATAGTTGCTCAATAAATGTGTTCTTTTTATTCAAATTAATGTGTTTAGGTGAGGCTTAAAATATAGATAAAGCAACTCTTCCTTAGTGTTCTTAAATTATTTGAAATGTCTCATTGTTCTTTATGTGTTTGTGTCTCGTAGTCCCTATTCTGCTGTCAGGTCTTTGACTTGAAAGATTGTATCTTGTATTCCCTCTGTCTTAAAGAGGGTTTGACTACAGATACTGAGCAAATATTTGACAAACTAAGTAGATATTAGGTAAAGATTACCGATTTTCTTCTTCACACCTACACTCCACTGATATTTTATAAACTCTGAGGACTACGGGTACCCAAATCCCCAGCTATTTCATTAACGCTTGAGGCAAATTTCAATCAGAACCTTTAGGCTAATGACAAATTAATAAATCCATTCTACCAATCTCTAGGGCTCTGAGTCTATGATGATGTCAACAACATACAGGGAAGGATCTTTTAAGACTGCTACATACTTGTCTTTCTGTCTTTATTTAAATAAGTTTAATTCTACCTAAGCCGTATATATGTAATATATTGTGTCATCCAATTTAAGAGCTGATAAATTATGAAGCAAATCTATGTCTTAGGATGAATGCAATATATGTTTATTGATGTATTTGTCATTTCTTCTTTTCTGTAAGGTACTACCGTAATAATATATTTGTGGTTGATAAAACATGCAAAAAGGAAATATACAATAAATGAGGTAAAGAAAATAATGTCAAAATTAGTTTTTTAAATTGTATTTATTAATGGTAAAAAAGATCAGTAACAATTTGTTGAATGAGGATAATGAACTTTTTTATTATTTTTTAAATCTGGGCTTAACACTTCACAATACAGAGGTCAAGTTCTAAATTCAGTTTGTTTCAAGATCAGGTTTTCACGGCTGTCATAGGTGAAAAAGCCACTACACGAACACATATAGATCAACATGAAACCAGTATATCCTTAGCTGTGCCCACAAAATCATGGCATTTATTTTTCAGTGTTAACTACCAAATAGGTGAAGGCTATTGTTGAAATTTGACTAATAAGTATCCATCATCTGTGATGTCAATTTGTTGTTTTTGCAAACAAATGGAAATTTTTATATATATATATATTTTTTTTTTATACTTTAAGTTCTAGGGTACATGTGCACAATGTGCAGGTTTGTTATATATGTATACATGTGCCATGTTGGTGTCCTGCACCCATCAACTCGTCAGCACCCATCAACTCGTCATTTACATCAGGTATAACTCCCAATGCCATTCCTCCCCCGCCACCGCTCCCTATAATAGGCCCCGGTGTGTGATGTTCCCCTTCCCATGTCCAAGTGATCTCATTGTTCAATTCCCACCTATGAGTGAGAACATGTGGTGTTTGGTTTTCTGTTCTTGCGAAAGTTTGCTGAGAATGATGGTTGCCAGCTGCAGCCATGTCCCTACAAAGGACACGAACGCATCTTTTTTACGGCTGTGTAGTATTCCATGGTGCATATGTGCCACATTTTCTTAATCCAGTCTGTCACTGATGGACATTTAGGTTGATTCCAAGTCTTTGCTATTGTGAATAGTGCTGCAACAAACATATGTGTGCATGTGTCTTTATAGCAGCATGTAATGCTGCTATACAGTAATGCTATGGCTGGGTCATATGGTATTTCTAGTTCTAGATCCTTGAAGAATCACCATACTGTTTTCCACAATGGTTGAACTAGTTTACAATCCCATCAACAGTGTAAAAGTGTTCCTATTTCTCCACATCCTCTCCAGCACCTGTTGTTTCCTGACTTTTTAATGATTGCCATTCTAACTGGTGGGAGATGGTATCTCATTGTGGTTTTGATTTGCATTTCTCTGATGGCCAGTGATGAGAAAAGCATTCAAGAGTCACTGAAACTCTTCATTTGCAATATTTTATATCATGTTAGAAAATCCTATTTCTAAATTCTTAAGCAAAAAGAGATGATATTTTTGTAGATAACATTGGTTCTTATGAAACAAATAGGCCTGGTTTTTATACACTATACTAATGACTTCTTATAGCACTTTGTATATTTCTGCCATCAATTTCTTTCTCATTATGCTGTTTCTGCATGTGACCAATGGCATGGACACATTTTCCTAAATGCTGCTTGCTACTTCTGTTTCCTCTCTCTAGAATTCATTGTTTCCATTAAGACAATTACTCCAAAAGTTTTGCCATATGGGATTATTTTCATTAAAAAAGCAATTTACTGTTGAGAAAATGTCTTCTCAGGTATATCTTTCATTTAATTTTTGTCAAAGAAACAAAACAAAACAACTAGTTATTTGTGTATTTGTTCTTTGAAACATAATGAAACAAATATCTAAAAGCAGAGCTGTGTCAGAACCATCCTAACTTCCATCCAACTCTCCAGTAAATCTACACTGTAATCTTTATTGTAATATTTATTTCTTTAAATCCTCAGTGTTTTTTAAAGTCACAGTATTTGCTGATAAAGAAATAAAGAATGCATTTTAGTTTGTCACCATAGTGTTTTCCATGTTCTGTCATTTTTACTGTGTCAAGAAGGACAAATATTCCCTAAGATAATGACTATTTGTCTTTTAGTAAGTTAGATTTTTTTTAAAGACCTTTAAACATTTATAATTACTTAGACAAATTTTGTAAGAACCGTGATTATATATCACTAAATTAAAACATGGTTGAAAAAAATTACAGAAGTTTATCTTCATGTTTTGGATACTTGGTGTAGAAATCTTTTGTTTATCAAGATGACTCCAAACTAGCTAATATCTCAAGGCTCAATACTGGCTTAGGAGGGATTCACATCTAACAAAATATATGGGAAGCCACATTTCAAATCATTTCCCCACAATTTTTTTTTTTATTTTTTTGGCCAAATGTGATCAAATCATCATTGTTTTGTAATATGGCTGTGAAGAGCTCATATTAAGAATAGAAACAAGTGGGAGCTTTTTCACTTTGTCATTGTTTGCTCTTGATTGCATTTCCAGCACTAGTTTTAAACTGCAGTTCACTTACTGGTTTATAGGAATATGTTAAAGTCACTTGTATGTATTATGAGGATTAATTTTGTTACAACCAGAGTCCGTAATACAAAGGACAACTCTAATTCATTACCGTGTGCTGAAAGCTAAAGGAGGAATAAGGTCACCCTGCCCATGGCCTCTCCCCAAGAGCATGGCAACCCTGCTCTTCCCTCAAGCTTCCTCACATATTTTTATTATTATTATTATTATACTTTAAGTTCTAGGGTACATGCATACAACGTGCAGGTTTGTTACATATGTATACTTGTGCCATGTTGGTGTGCTGCACCCATCAACTCGTCAGCACCCATCAACTCATCATTTACATCAGGTATAACTCCCAATGCCATTCCTCCCCCCTCCCCCCTCCCCATGATAGGCCCCAGTGTGTGATGTTCCCCCTCCCGAGTCCAAGTGATCTCATTGTTCAATTCCCACCTATGAGTGAGAACATGCGGTGTTTGTCCTCAACACCCACTGGCTCACCCACAGACCAAGAAAGGTCTCCAGTGACAATCCCAAGTGATATTTTAGTGAAGTTTAATTTCTTTCTCTCTTCTCATACACCAAAAAAACTGTACATCTCTTATTTGTACCCATTTTGAAACAGTTATACTAGTCTTCTGGCACCAAGAGGAGATACTGCACTTAGGTTTATCTCTGATCTGAAACACAGTGCCTGGTATATAGTAGTCTCTCACTTAGTAAATTTCTACTGAATGAATAATGAAATCAATAAATAACTTAACGTCCAGCATGTACACATTCTCTATCTTATATTCTGTAGTGAAAATAAAATTTAAGAAGTACAAATCTAAAAGTCCCTGTAGCATTTCAGAGGGCAGTAAAGAAGAACAATGGCATTCTCCTATTGTCACATCCTGTTAGAATGCAAAAAATGGTTTGTAAAGTCACTTTCTTTTATATATACATGGGATCTGACTTTCCTTCATGGTTGTCTTTGTGTTGTACTTTTACTCGGAATGAGCATTTTATGAAAAATGTTATTTAGTAAGGAAAACTTTAACAACTGGTATCTATAAGTAAGCATTTTTTGGAATAAGAGGCTCTTTGCAATGGTATGGAGGAATTCCAAAGTGCTTAGAAAAAGCAAAATTGTTCATGAATAGAACAACTCGAAAACCACAAGCAAAATAGTGCTACTCATATGGCATGATATGTTAACTATAAATCATGCCTACTGAATTGGTCAAAATGTATGAAATATCCAAAAGCTAGAACAAAGGAGAGATGGCAACAACTCTTAGAAAAGAAAGAACTTAAGTAATGAAAAGGTGACATTTTCCAATTTCAATTAAATGGCTTTACTAGATTCAAAGGGAGTTTAATAGGGCTTGGACAGAATTAAAGCATTACTATGAAAGGTCACAGATAGATAATTGATTTGAGTTTGTAATATAAGGTCACATTATTTAGGATCTCCATGGAGAAGAATGAAAGAAAGGCTAGTCCCTTCAATTGACTTTAGTGAGTTCAGCTGGAGTATTTTATTGTTGAAAGTTTCCTTAGAGAAAAAATATTTTCACTAACTCTAAGGAAACTTTCCCTAGTTTCCTAGTTTTCTAGTTTCTCTAGAAAAACTGGAGAAAGTTTCCTTAGAGTTAGTGAAAATATTCTTCTTAAAGGATGAATATGAAAGAAAAAAGTTTTATTTTAAATAATCAAAAGAAGATTCACGAATACAGGTACGTAATATACATACGAAGAAATCTTGTGAAATTCTGCAAAAGTGGAAAGATCTAGATAGGGAGAAACTATTTAAGAAGAGAGGACTTGACTAATAAAATAAATGAATAATGTAGGTAACTGATGGTTCTTAAGTACACTTGGTGGATGCGCTGTTCTGAATAGGAACAATGCACTCAATTTAGAACCAGAAGCACTGGGGGAAAAATACCCTGTCAGAAAAATACATGTACTTACCAAACTGGGTGCTATTTTTGGCCTAAAAGCTACATATGTAGGTGTTTTAACAGGAGAAAAGAAGGTAATAATTAGTGTTTGCAGAGAAAAAACTTAAAGGAAAAAATAACTAAGTGGAATATCAGAGCAATCTTCTCTAGAGTATGGATTTTAAGTTACTCAACAAATTTTAAGAAAATTAGTCAAAATCATGTGACTAATCTGTGAGTATTAGCCTGAACACAAAACATCACAGAAAATCCTGAACTGGTAATTAAATAAAGAAGATAACCATTTGAATAATTTTCCATTCTAGTTTCCTTGATCATGTGACTCATAGTAAAAATAAAAATAAGGGTCCCAAATATGCTTAATAGAAAGAAGATTAATATAGTACATAATTCTTACAACTTTTAGGATTTTACTTGATTGCATATCCTAGAAAATTGCTTCTTCAGGTGTATTTTCTTAAAGAGAAACAAATATACTTACTTTTGCTTGATTCTTTCCTTTTAGTTTCTTTTGGACTATAATTCCATTCTTTTGGCATGCTCTCAAGCAAACAATCAGGAACAATGTGCTTGTTTAGGTTTGTCTCACAGTTTCTCCTAGAGCTCATCACAGATACTATCTGCTGTACAGTGTCCTTGACGGCATCGGTCAGTGCCAGTCTCAAGCATCGAATGACCTCTAGCTCATACTCCACGCACGTTGAGACTTTAAAATCAGATGGCATATTATGGTTAGCAGAACCTAGCAAATCATTTGTGCCTTGCTCAACTAGAATTCAGTTTCATAATAATCTAGTTTAAAGCTATAGGAAAGGAGAGCTGCTTTTAACCAAGAAATCATATGATTGATAACCACTCCATAAAACATTTTTAAAAAAATATTCTTCTTGTTTGTAATAAAAGGAATGGCAATTAAGATAACAGTACATAATATTTACTGGTACTCTTGGACTCTTCTGGTGAGAACATAAATTGTATGACCTTCCCTGATGACAACTTGGCTGACAATAATGTCAAAGCTTCAACATTTTACTTATCAGTTGACTCACATATTCCTTTCTGTAGGACTTTTCCTAAGAAATTTATTATAAATATGCAAAGGATATAGAAAAAATTAAAATCAATCAAAATATCCAATAATAGGTGATTTGCTTAATTAGCTCTGGTATTTCTGTCTATACAATAAAGCCAAATATTGTGTAGTAAAAATAAAGTAGGTTAGAAAAGAGTATGATATCCTATTTTTATTAAAAATATATATCTCCACACATATATAAAATAATTAAAAGATGTACTCTATAATGCTAATGGTGATTATCAATGATGGATGGAATTTCAGGTATATATTTTTCTTCCTTTTTTCTTCTTTCCTTTCTTCCTTCTTTCTTTACAAATGGTCAATCAATTCAGTGTTAGAATCTTACCAAGAGTTTTCTTATCAGCAAAATGTTAGAGAAGTCCCTAGATTGCCAAGGCACATAGCATAGGAAGAATAGAGTAATAGCCCTAAAACCCAGCTGCTAAAAACCCAAAATACTAATTCTTCATTATCAGCATAAATGAGAGAAAAAAGGGAAAGGATTATTTAAAATGACAATAATTTTTATTAATGATTTTTATTATTGTAGTTTATTTCCACTTTTTATGTTAAATTAACAAATGAAAACAAAGAAACATAAAATTCAGGTTAGAATCATATAACTTAAAGAATACCTGCTTCATTATCTAATTAATTTTCAAGTGTTTCAAATCACCATTAAAAATATAGACACTTTAGGAGGGGCCTCGGTGTCCTCCTTTATAAAATGGTGAGGGGAGAGGGCGACAAGGGCTAGACAAGATGATATTTATGGTCTTTGTCAGTTTTCACCTTCCATGACTCTATTTAAGACTCCTAAGAAGAAAATAACAAATACATCACAGCTGAGCACACACAAAGTTGAAAAGAACTGTGACTCTACTTCCTTTTACAACACAGTAATCAGGAGGCCTTAGAAAGGGCTGAATGAGGGTCCTAAATTGAGAATGTGCTTGAGGCCATGAGCAGCAATCCTAAGAATGATTTAAACCAGTTTTTGTATGTTCACTAAGCTACCAATTGCTTACCAATTTTTATCAGTATAATCTTTTATATTTTGGTAATAACAGATGTGGCAAGATTTCCAAAAAGAAACTTCATTACTTTTATGTTAAAATTTCTATAATTTAGAAGAATCAGAACAAAGGTAATTTAGTGAGAGTTTTTCAGGCTACTGTTAAGAAAGATGTTATATGCAATAAAGAATAACCTAATGTGGTTTTATAAAAGCAATGGAAATTACATCTGAATATGTTTCTAAGTAAAAAGGTTTGGTTTAAATAATTATTCTATTAATATATTTACCAACCAGAAGTCATTGGAAATGTCTCCAGATAAATTATAAGTAACTGGGGAGTCAAAAGTAACAAAACATCATTGAAAATCTTCTGCAAATACATTAGCATACTTTCCTGCTTTAGAAAATTAGTTTCTTTGATGCTTCATAACTTCAGGTGGAACATCTAAATTTAGAAATGTAAAAATTTAGACAAGCTCCGGTCTGATTTTCTCACTTTTTGAAAATAAGGACACTGATAAACCAGATAGGAAGTGATAGACCAGACAGTAAGTAGCAAGGCAAGGATGTATTCTCTAGTTAGCCAGTTCAAGCAGTGGTATACACAGGACTAGACGGGATGGCTTGGAGCAATCCACAATCTCTAAGTACATGCCATACCCAGCCACTCCTAATAAATGTAGCATCTAAGTCAGCAGCCAAGCTTCTGACTCCCTTTTCTACTTTTACTGCGGTAATTTATTTATTTATTTATTTATTTGAGATAGAGTCTAGCTCTGTCAACAGGCTGGAGTTCAGTGGCAAATCTTGGCTCACTGCAACATCTGCCTCCCGGGTTCAGGTGATTTTCCTGCCTCAGCCTCCTGAGTAGCTGGGATTACAGGCATGCGCCGCCACACCTGGCTAATTTTTGTATTTTTGGTAGAGATGGGGTTTCACCTTGTTGGCCAGATGGTCTCAATCACCTGACCTTGTGATCCCCACACCTGGGCCTCCCAAAGTGCTGGGATTACAGGTGTGAGCCACTGCGCCTGGCCTACCGCTGTATTTAAACAGTCCTCTACAAAACTGCTGGGGCGCTTTAACCTGCCCTATTCTTATCTGAGACCAGTCCTCCATCTTCTGTAATTACTCTGCAATGCCCTAGAATTAGAGAAAATTTTACATATATCTAGAATTGTCCACAGTCTATTTAGTAATATGTGAATTCCCCAGTATCTCTGGCTTTAGATCCAAATTTCTTAAAATTTTAGAATTAGAAAGCCATTAATTTTAATGACGGCATTGGCCTCCTCAGGCGTGCTTTAAAAATAGACAAGTGTGGAGAAGCACTTCCAGAATGATAGTGTGAAGACCTGGGAAAGTCTGCACCTCCATTAAAGCTATCAGAACACTGGCGAAAATTGTGAAAATCAACTTTTGAGAACTCTGGAAATTAACCACAGGCTTGCAACAATCCAAGGAGTATTTATTCAAGAAAATCAGCTGAATCTTGGTAAAAACAATGAGCTTTGTGGCATTTTAACCTGCTCTATTCCCAGCTCCCATTTCTCAGCAAGTTCTACTTGAACTACTATGGCCTTGAAAATGAGCAGCCTTGAAGCCATGGTAGTTATAAAAGCCTAGCAGCCACTGGAAGAGGCAGAATGTGTTTTGACCTATCCACAACGTCCCAGTTTTCCAGATTGTCACTATTTGTCTTGTCCGGAATCTCCCTGGAAGAGCGCTGTCCACAATGCATATCCTTATTCAAACTAACTCAGTGACTGAAAATGTCCTATCCCCAGGATATTTCATCAAAACAGTCAGCAGCAATGGTTTAACTCTGTGGCTGCCTGAGGTAGTAATACTGGTTGTGGCAAACAAGAAACTAATAAAAAAAGGAAAAGAAAAACTGAGAAATGAAATGTACATGTATATAGTGGGGAGAAATTTTGAATATCTCTGTCACACTCCTGGGGATCAAGAAAGACACAGACATGTACAGGACTGTGCACATACCCAAGAAAGCCCTGAGAAAGCCCTAATCTCTCACCTCTGACTAATCTGGATGCTCTGTGCAAGCAGGGTGTAAAGACTAAGGAAGAGTTGCAAACTATGTGTGTGTTGGGACATGCTTTCAATTCTCTGGCAGTTTACAACAATTCTACTCCTAGGTATATATCCAAAAGATTTTTTGAACATTCACACAAAAACTTGTACACTATGTTCATACCAGCATTATTAATAACAGCCAAAAAGTGGAAACAACACAAATTCCCATCAACTGATGAATCAATAAGCAAAATGTATATTTTCATATAATGGATCATTATTCAACAATAAAAAGAAATGGAGTTCTGATGCATGCTACAACATGGATTAACCTTGAAAATATTATACTAAGTGAAAGAAACCAGACACAAAATGCACATACTGTGTGATTCCATTTATACAGAACATCCAGAAAAGGCAAACTATAGAGACAGAAAGTAGATTAGTGGTTGTCAGGAACTGGGGAGGAACTGTTAATGGGTACAGGGTTTCTTTTTGAGGTGATTAAAATGGTCTAAAATTAAATGGTGCTGATGGCTGCACAGTTCTGTAAATCTACTAAAAACCACTGAACTGTGATATGTTTACACTTTAAAAGGGTGAAATTTATGGTATATAAATTATATCTCAATACATTTGCTATAAAAATGCAATTGCCTCTAAAAGGACACACACAAACATTTGTCATTGATATCATAATATGATTTAATTAGAGCAGGGGTCAGAAGACTTTTTCTGTAAGTAGCCACATAATAAATATTTTAAGCTGTAAGACAGATGATCTTTGTTGCAACTAGTCATCTTTACTGTGGAAGCACAAAAGTATCCACAAATAATACGTAAGTAAATAAACATGGCAATTTCCAATAAAACTTTATTAAAATGGTGGGTTGGATTTGCTCCAAAGGCAATGGTTTACCAACTTCTAGTTTTAACATAAACATGGCAATTTCCAATAAAACTTTATTAAAATGGTGGGTTGGATTTGGTCCAAAGGCAATGGTTTGCCAACTTCTAGTTTGACTGGTTTAAAGGTTTTCCTTTGGTACTAGATGGGAACAGGACACCAAGAGCTTTTGATAGTAAGAAGAAAGGGAGAGATAATTTTGGAGTATAAATTCCAGCGGGGAAAAGGCAGGACTGGGTGGGATGTCCAACACAGAGTTTTTGTTTAATCAGAGTGAATCTTTTTTTAAATTTTATTTTATTTTATTTATTTTTGAGACAGAGTCTCTCTCTTGTTACTCAGGCTGGAGTGCAACAGTGCAATCTTGGCTCACTGCAACTTCTGCCTCCTGGGTTCAAGCAATTCTCCTGCCTCAGCCTCCCAAGTAGCTGGGATTACAGGCACCCACCACCACATCCATTTTTTTTTTTTTTTTTTTTTTTGAGACGGAGTCTCGCTCTGTTGCCCAGGCTGGAATGCGGTGGTGCAATCTCGGCTCACTGCAAGCTCCACCTCCCAGGTTCATGCCATTCTCCTGCCTCAGCCTCCTGAGTAGCTGGGACTACAAGCACCCGCCACCATGCCTGGCTAATTTTTTGTATTTTTAGTAGAGACAGGGTTTCACCTTGT